GCAGATGATGGTTCGCGACGAGAGGAGATTCAAAATGGCCGACCAAGACAATGACCTGAAAGCCAACAAGGAGGAGTTCACGGCCTTCCTTCACCCCGAGGAGTACGACCACATGAAAGACATTGTAGTGCTAGTGAGTGACAAACACACACACTCACACAGGTGTTAAATAATGACACTAACGCTGCATCTTTCACGTCCCTTCTCACTGCCTTATGTTCTTTTTTTCCTTCCTATAGGAAACCATGGAGGACATAGACAAGAACGGAGATGGCTTAATTGATTTAGACGAGTATATAGGTGAGTTCCTGTAGCCCATTGTCACATAAGTGCCATCAGTTTGTGCCACATGATTTTGGGTTATTATTGGTTGTTGAAATTGAAAGACACAGCAAGTACAGTTATATTGTAATGAGTAATGTTTGAGGAACCAGTTTGAGGAACCTTGAATATGTTAACCCTACCGGAAATGCTATCAGTACTGCAGCATCATCGACACACTCTCTCTCTAATTCTTCCTTCTTATGTGCTCTAGGTGACATGTACAACCAGGAGGGAGACGCCTCAGAACCGGAGTGGGTGAAGACAGAGAGGGAACAGTTTACTGAATTCAGAGACAAAAACAAAGACGGGAAGATGGACAAGGAGGAGACCAGAGACTGGATCCTGCCCAGTGATTACGACCACGCTGACGCCGAGGCCAAGCATCTGGTCTATGAGTCAGATGCGGACAAGGTACGAACTGTAAAACATTTCAGACTTCTACAGAAATGCTTTGGTTCTCAAGAATTTTATTTCCTGTCTCATTCACCAAATATTTAGAGGAAATGGTCTGTGAAAGTGCAGCACACACACACACACAAGTCTGTTTGAAAGATTATACTGCAGGGCCACGGCATACTAAGAAAAGTTGTGATATGTGGTTGATTTGTTTATTACAGTACAAAGCACTTACTGTTTAAGGCATCTAATGTAAACAAAGTGATGTTAGCCAACACTGAGTTGGTCTCACTCTATTTTTTTTTTACGTTTGTTTTGTCAGTCCGTTTAAGGAGGATCTTAATTCTTTTACAGCTCTAACAAAGCATGATAAATGCAAGAGATACAGGCCTTCATCTCAGGCTTGCCAGTATTATTTCCCTTTGGGATATGTTTGTTGTGTAATTCAGTTGAGAAAGCTAAGTTATTTATTGTCTGCACCCAGTGATGAGGATATACCAGATGCACACAGTAACAGTAACAATATTAAGTACCTCCATATCTTGTTAACAGTTTAGTTTAGTTTAATACTTTATTTGACAGGGGTAGTGCATATAAATAACATTTCTGAAGATATGGCAGTTAGCCAGAAAGGCAAATTTCCATCTGTAGTTCCCGAGCAGGCAATAGTTCTAAGCATCGACGTCAAGAAAACATTTTTTAAAAATTTTTTCAGCAATAAAACCAGTGAAAGATATGCAGATACAAACAGGGCCTGCACTAGAGAGACAGCTCTTACGACACACTGAATCAACAATATCACAACAGCAATCAACAAATCCACAATACAAGGCGTATCATGTTTGTTATTCTCTTTGCATCAGGATGGCCGTCTGACCAAGGCAGAAATCGTGGAGAAGTACGACCTGTTCGTGGGCAGCCAGGCGACCGATTTCGGAGAGGCGCTGACTCGACACGACGAGTTCTAAGCATCCACCTGCCTCCAAAGACTCATGTGTTCATCTTTTGTACCACCTTTCTCCTCTGGTAGTGGATGGAGCATTTCAAACAAGATGAACTCACCTAATCCTACGCCACGGACAATAATTTATTTGATTTCTTGAATGTGTCCCATTGTACACACGCTAACATTCATGTGTACATGCTTGGCCAGTGTGTTCTCATGCTCAGTTGTGGGTATGATTGGGATATATTGCCAGCCTTTGCTCTGCTTCCACACACTACACTACTTTTTTTCCAAGTCAGGCGATGTACAAACAGTGTTAGATGACAATTTGAAAGGGTGATTTTATAAAATAGCCATGTTTTATTATGAAAACCCTGATTGAACAAAGTTATGCTTGCAGTATATCGTACCATTTCTTTTTTTGCAATGCACTGGACTGTGAAGAGTAAGGCTGATTTCTAGCCAATAGAATTTGTTCTACTCCTCTGTCTAATCCTGTAATCAGGTCCACTTGTGCTTTGTTTTTTTGTGTCTTTATTGATCATAATGTGGTATTTCTGGAGATGTTTGGAACGAGGAGTAAATATAAATTCCAGTGACAATGAAGACTATTTGGACTAGTGCAATACAGTATCATCAGTGGGACCTTGCTGTTTGCTATTCCGGTCCCCAAAGCATCCACGTTTACACAAGCTGTGGCTCTTACATAAGGGTGTGTTCAGCTATGTGTTAGGTGAAGTAATCAAGATGAATTTAGAGACTGATGGATGCGTTGTCCTCAAAGCTGGGGCCTTTTCTTCTTTCTCGTCACCTCAATATTGTGTGTGTGTGTGTGTGTGTGAGAATCTGTGTGTGTACATATATTGTGTTCTTGATGGTTGACCTTCACTTTTTAGTGATGTTATGTTTTGTTTGATTCAGCTGAACTAACTCATTTTTGTGCCAAGCTAAAAGATTTGTCCTGTTTTGTAAGTAGTTTGAAAAAAAGAAAAAAAATTCCCTACAAACACTTTTCCCTCCTAAATATGTTTGTTATGCTTGTATTATCACTACCACCATTTATAACCACTGTTGATACTTTGTATGGTATACTATAATGTATATGATAATGGTTTTTTACATGCTCACTATAGCGACCACCCTTTCACTAGTGACTTTATTGTAAATAAGTTGTTGGTCTGCAAATGGAGCACGCTAACAATCAGGTCCAGTTTTTGTGATTGAGAAGAAACTCTCAATAAAAACAAATACAATTGGAGCTTTTAATCTACTGTCTTCTTTTGACTTGAAGTACTAGTTATCAAGTGTTAATCAAGCAAAACATACCAAAACCTCTAAAACCTTTAAAAGAAAAAACAAACCTACTTTTAAAATGATATCATGTAGCATTAACTGTAGTTGAAACTGTCTGTTGCAGAATTCCTTACAACTATCAGCTTTCCCAGCTTTCTTCCTTTTTTAGGAAATGCTCCGTTTCCTGGTTCCCTTCAGGCTGTTGACCCACTGATCTGCAGATTGTTGTGTCCCTTTTCCTCTGGCAGTCTCTTTCAACAGAACCATTTGCCCCCTAACCTCCCCATAATAAGTCGAATGTTGGCAATTTTAACAATTTTATCCCAACTGAAAACATATGTGGGCTATTTTCCAGGTATGTCGCTGCTATCCTAAACATTTTACCCCTTTACATCTCAGCATATATGTCAGAAATAACTTTTTTTTTAATTTACCCAACTATGGTTTGATTAACATGACTGTGTTTTTCACCAGTTCGTTCCTTTTAACTGGTTATTTAGGAGCTTTTGAATCAGTTTGGGGTCAAACTCATCCTTATTCACCACCAAAACTGATCTTCCAATTTAAACTTTTGATCATCTCAACAATACTAATACTGCTCATCAAGAATCTTAGCCCCAAAGGTTTTACAGACAAATTTCTCTATGTGTTGATGTTGTAGGTACATGTGCAAAGGTGTTAGAAGAAGTGGGTTAATCTGCAGGAGGTGTGAAGCTGATGTTTGATAGTCTTAACAGACCTACAGAAACAAGCTGACAGATTGCTAATTGGACAAGAACATTTACATGCTGCATATAGTTGTCAAAGTACTGAATGATGTTTTCTCTGGGTCAAAATTTTTATACTTTGGTTTATGTCTAAATACTTATCTAAATTAATTGCTCAAAAGGAAAATCTCAGCATGCTTCTTGCTGCAGTTTCAGCCTGACTCACAACACCACTACAGTCCATCTTTTTCAAAGGAATGTCAAAGAAAGGTAGGAAAACTCCCAGGGAAGGTGTTCTACTTGTCAGATGGTTTTGCAGCGCTGTACAAAAACTGCAAAGCTTTCCAGAACCCGGGTCTCTCCTTGAAGGACTTTGATGTGGAAGCACAGTTGAACTTTTTTTGCAGCTACTCATGGCAAAGGACCGTGTGAAATTATGGGGGGAAGAATGGGGATAACCTTGTTTGTAAGCTTTCCATTAATCAGAAAACTTTATTTTTGAAGAACCTATCTGTGTCTTTAGGTGGGGTGGGGGTCCAGTAAGGGTCAACTTTGAGGGCCCCTGTTTCCTGAACAGTTGGTCATTCTGGTTAAACCGCAATGTAACATTATGTCATATATATTAACATGTAGGGAATGAAAAAGATCATTTAAATTTAAACATTACTGATGGAATGCCCTCTTTGTGAAATGGATGCTAACTCTAATGCTATCAAATGAGGGGCACAGATTTGGGCAACGCTGTGCCTATGACCAGATCTGCTCACTGAGCTGCTAGCATGCATTGCTGTAAACTCTTCTTGTTGTCGCATGTTGACTGTCCTCATGGGTCCTTGCTTTAGCAGAGAAGGAGGTTCTGTCCAGATCATTATCCCAACTTTAATTGCCCCAAACCTTTACCAAACCACCATCGATATCTAGCGATGAAGTTGCAGATTACAACCAACTGCTTGACCTTCCAAGCGTATAGGAGAAACTACAATGGCCGTGAAACCCTCAAAAGGCCCTACGTAGAGTCAATGTTTGGTTCATCCATTCTGTAGAAACATGGTGGTTCAACATGGTGGACGAAGAGGACGTCTCTCCCTCTGCAGATGGAAATGGCTCATTCTAAGGTAATGAAAACACGATTCTTCAGGTGATTGTACACTAATGAAAACACACCTGGGAATAGAATATTTCATTGCTGCCAATGGAACCTCCTAAATCTTACACACTAGACCTTTAACTCTGACATACTCACTTTGAACTTTATGGCCATCTCAAAGCATGTGCCTATATTGTCAGAGCCCCTGCCCATAAGTTTGCTTTAATAACAAGTCTTGGCTCATTGATTCAGTTAGACAATAACTTTACTTATGCTCAAAGAAAAACAGAGGCAGCTTGAAAAGTAAGCATAACAAAACAATTAATGCTGCAGTACACTGTGAGAGTTTTTTAATATAAAGTATAAATCTACAGGGAACCACACAGGGTGCAAAACCGCTGCTTTGCTTTTAAACAGTCAAACATTATAAACTCTTGTGATGTCAAAGTAGGTGTTTTGCTTTCTACACTATGTGGTTTCATGTGGATATACCTTAAGAAAACACACACAATCTCATTATATTCGTAAACAATCGCTGATTGATTCATGCTGTTCTATTTGTACTAACTTTGGAATGAATGATGTATCCTTGAAAAATCAATATCATAATTTATACTGATAAATTTGAGTGTTTTTTCACTGTACATTGTCCATTCAAGGTCACTCTTACCTGTCATCTAGTCAACTATATGGTATAAATGGAGCAACAGTATTTATTATAACTGTGTGCTGTTAAATGTTTAGTTTTACATATATAGTATACAGTGTATGAACATAATGTCGTCTTTTATGTGGCCCATGTGCTGTATATCTTGTGTATGCATACCGTCTTCTTACTTGTCTCAGCAGTGCCTACAGCACGAGCAGAACCAGACTGCAGTCTTTCTTTCTTGCTTGATGATGTGTCCCCAGTCGGCTGTCCGTGTCATCCATCTTCACCTTACCTCCTCCATTCTCTGTCGTCCATCCCGTCACTCTCAGTGCCTGCGATATTGTAGAGAGATCACTTACTAAATGTGATAAAAATGGGATTACAACGAGCCAACACTCTCAGAAGCTCTTCTTCATCTGGCTGTAACTCATCCTCACCCTCACTGTTCTTGTCTGCATCTTCATCTCCCAGAAAACCGTCATTCACAACCCCCACCTCCCGGCAGTCCTGCGTATTTCCTGAGTTTGTTGAAGGTCTTCGGTCCTGAGATGGACTGCCAGCACCTGCAGCCCCACCTGGATGTTCTGATTGATCTGTTAGGTCTGGTGATGTGGAGGGTTGGTCTACCTCTGTGCTTAGACTCATGGATGTTTGCTCTGGTTTTGCTAGAGGTTTATCAAGGGGAGACATATCTATATTTACCAGTTTAGCTTTTAAAGGTGCATGGTCTGGGGTGGTTGCGGGTGTGCCCATCTGCTTAGGAGGGGGTGAGGACAGTAAAGGTGAATATGGGGGTGTTTTCACACGAGGTTTGCAGAAGGGTTTGTCTATTTCTGCTGAAGCAATTCGGGTATGGCTGCATGGAATACTGGATTGAGAGGAGGGGCTGGTGACAGGGTCAACAGGGTCATCATTGGTGGTTGTTTGTGTAGGTTGTGAATCAGGATAGGTGAAAGGTGGGGTGTCAGTGGCATCATGGGTTGCAGGGCTAGGACTGGTGTTGGGTAGTGCCTCAGTAGGCTCTGGGGATGTGTCAGGTGGTGAACCAGGGTTTTCTTTGGGAGGAGCAGCATCTTGAGTCACATGTGTGGGGCTCACATCCACAGTGGCTGGGTGAAAGGTGGGTGAACTAGAGGAGCTCTTGGTTGGTGTAGAAACATTATTATTGAGGATCACAGGACTGTGCACAGTTTCAGCGGGGATGATGCTGGTGTCAGGTGCAGCGGTGGTTCTTGGTGGAACGAGTCCTCGGCAGGCCGGGAGGTCTTGGTGGGTGTAGATGCCAGGTTTGTCTGGGTAGCTGAAGGAAAGATTGTAGGTTCCATATTCTTCATTGTTGTAGGGTACTTCCTCCATGTGTGGCATGGTGTTACGGTGACTCAGCTGAAAAGCAACCACAGTCATCATTAACATTTGGAAAAAGAAAACCACTATTGTATTGTGTGATGTACTATGTGACATGTAGGAATTGCCAGGCATGTGTGAATTAATCAGGTAATGTGACTAATAGACCTTTTTCACAGCAGCCATTTTGTCATTGTTACCAATGATACTAACTAAGGTTCTGTTACATTCAGGTCAAACAGAGTCAGCTGCCATTGTACATGTTGGCTCTCTGGAAAGGCTCTGCTAGACTAAATGGAAGGGAATCTGTTTACCCTACTATTTCATGTCAAAGTGGCTGCTGTGAAAAAGGTCTGTTTACTTTCCAGACTTACAAGATGAATGGAAGATATGATTACATTTACTTAGAAAGATGAATATAAGCTCAGTAGTAAATAAATAACTCACCAGTTGGAACCACCTTAAGCTCTGCGGGGAGTATGCAGTGGAGAATATTTTAGAAACTCAATCTTACTCACCAACAAATCTTGGTAAAATATGAATCTAGGTTATAGAGATTAAGGATCTCACCACATTGGGGTGTTTGCCCTGGGCCACACAGCCTCTCTCCAGTGGGTTCCTCTTTCCCTTGTGTTTCTTTTTCATCCACATCACCATGGACAGGATGGTTCCAAGTACAGTCAAGAACACCATGCTCAGAAACAAAGCTTTGCCCACAGTACAGCCTATGATACGGTCATCTCCCAGTGGACTATAAGGAACTGTAGTGTACAGAGACAGATAGTGTTTTATTCAGTCTGCAGGCTCATCAGCAACCAGTGATTAATGTGAGCATGTATCCGTCCTTACTTGATTGTCCTTCAGATAACACGTCCACTACCACAGTAGCAAAGGTGACATCACCCGACTCCTGGTCTAAAGCCATTACCTGCAAAATATTTTGACTTTTTATCAAATCATCAGTTATTTATCTTTTGATTTGTTTTGAGATTTTGATGAATTTTAGTTGTTGCAACATTGAAAATCAATTAATTATTGTCCTTTGTAAGTATAGTACAGTATCTGGTTGGAACATTTTAGCCAATTAAGAGACACAGAACACACGATTTTTGATTTATTACCAACCCCCCAGTTCCAGTTGGACGGGCACAGTGAAAATAACTTAATCGGATTCTTTGTTAATTGGTTTTCCTATTGTGTTTGTGTAATTATAGTGCACAAACACAATACTTCATAGTTATGTTGTCATGCATGCTCTTGCCATCTGTCACTATTTCAGTCAGCTTTCTTGCAACATAGGAAATTTATTATTTAAAGTATTTAAAAGAAATTTGTAGTTACTGGCCTCAAATATGAAAAGTCCCTGCTATGTTTTTTTTTTTTAATTAAATCAAATGATGACACTAGGTTTAACTGAGGCTCACCTCTAGAACATGTTTCTGCTCTGGTTTGAGTTTATTGGTCCTGGTGATCAGAAAGCCCTCCTGTGTGATTTGGTAGATGTCTGTGTGATTTGATGTCAGACTGAAGGTGAAGAAGATCATGGGATTGAAACCCTGTCAATTCGTGGAGAAGAAGGAGGTGATGGGTAACAATATGAGTCAGATACAGAACCGCTTTGAGCATTTTTGCTGTGTGGGTGTATACGTTGTGTGTGGAAAGCAGTGTAGTGCATACGTGGCTGAAGTCTTGATCTTGTACACGTAGCATCAAGGCTTTGCTGCCATAGGTATTGACCAGGGAGGCAGGGCTCCTTCCTGCATTTACGAAGCCTTGATATTCAGCCATCTCAAACTCTGGATAAAACTGGTTCACTGCCAGAACTCGGACCAACACTGTAGCAACAGAATACTTCCTGGGGTCATCGTCCTGGTATGCCTGGTTGCAAGACACAGAGAGATAGAAAGGCAGAGCAGTCAGGTTGATATCTTTCAAGCCTACCACTAACACTGAGTATGTGAGTCTTACCATGACCTGTAGATACAGCGTTGGAGTTGTGAGTCTGTCTCGAAACCCCTGAATCAGTTTCACCTCCCCTGTCTTTCGGTCCATCAGAAAACGCCCATCATCGTCTCCTAGTATGAAGACCAACGCAGTTACAGATGGATACATGTAAGCACCGCACATTTATAAAATATGTATTTGCATCTGTGTTGATGGTACCTGAGAGAATCGAATAGCTGACTGGAGAGCTGAGACCTCTGTCTCCGTCCACTGCATGAATGGGACCAGGAGAGAAGTCCAACACAATGTCCTGCAACGTGACACACTTTTGTTGCTCTACAATTCAGATCTTGAAACACCCAAAACAGTAACTCGGTTCTGGATCTTGCAGATTAATTATATAGTTTGAATTGAATCTATAAAAATAAATAAGATTGAAAATATGATTGATAAAACCATACAATATACAACAATACCTCATCTATAGAGCAGGGAAGATGCAGTGTATGAGAGTAAAAATAAAGATACACAGGTATCTTCAAAAAAGAATGGTTCTAGTGTCACATCCAAAGTAGTATCATTAATAAGTTATCAGTTATAAGATAAGTGTAATTGAGGGAGGGTTTAGTGACCGACCTCTTCCCCCTCTGTGACATTGACTGTGTACACAGGGCTGGTGCAGATGCGGCTGGTCTCGTCCTGGAAAAGCAGCATGCAGGGCAGGAACTGTGGGTACTGGTCATCTCCATCCAGGACAGTGATGGTGATGTTGGTGCTGGTATTGAAGTGCTCACCTGTGTTCATTTCCTGAGGAGGATATTACATTGATCAAGCATGTTTGAAGGAGAAATGGATGGAAGCATGAACTGTAGTACGCTTCATCTTTTCTAACAGTAATCATCAGGATCATCAAATTTGGATGATATAAAAGTAGAAATTAATTTCGTTTAGATTAATTTGTGGATAGATTTACTTAGAAACGGAGTTCTAACACAGTCAAAAATGAAATTACATAGCTTACTGAGGCATGGATGGTAATAGTAAGCAGGGTTTTGGTCTCATAGTCTAGAGGCTTGGACAGGAGCACCTCTCCACTGTTGGGGAGATCAACCTTGAAGTACTCTGCATCAGGCTGCAGAACACACACACACACACACACACACACACACACACACACACACACACACACACACACACACACACACACACACACACACAGTAAGAACAAAGCAGTGATTGTGTGTATGAGTTGTTTCTTCTTTAAAGAGTAAAAAGTAGAACTCACTGATGTCTGGTCAATGGAGTAAATAATCTTGTCGTTATCTGCGTCAGTGGCCTGGACAGTAAAGACCACAGTATTCACTGGAGTCAGCTGGAAAACACACAGGCAGAAAAACACATTAGAACTTTAATCTTGTATGGTTTGTGTATGTGTACATGTTCATTATGTAGTCATACCTCACTGAGTATAAGAGACTGGACAGTGTCTTCTGCAAACACAGGGGAATTGTCATTGTCATTGAGAATCTCCACCATGATCCTGTACACACTCTACAGCAACAGCAAAAAAAAAGACACATAGCTTGAATGTGGGTTGACACACTGAAGAGTTATGGGTAAAATGACGGGACAAAGTGTACCTGAAGTGTGTCCTCCTCATAACATGACAACTCAGCCACTAGGACAGGACCCTGAGCCTGAGCGATAGAACGGAGAGACAACAACAACAACAACAGATAAAAAGAATCAATATGATCAAATATAAACAGGCTTCTACCAAAATATTGACACAGAACTTTACATTTCTAATGCTCAATTTCATATGAAAAGCACATTAATATAAACCAAGGCCACATTTGCTTTCCCTAGAAATGTTTTTCATTTTTTACCTTTATTGCCTTACATCAAGTGTAATCAAATCTAATATTATAGCATGCAGTTTCTCCTACTTGCTGTTTATCATACAACATTACATGTACATCAACAAATATAGAAATAATAGGGCAGATAACACACAGAGATTTTCTTTTTATGGTTACAGTAGAGATGCACATCCCAATATTTGAGCGTGTGCGTTGACCGCAACATTTCTACAGGGAGGCGGCCGCACACTGAATTGATGCTCTCAAATGTGTTGAATAACAGGAATTCTACATATGATAACAAGATAGTGTTTAAACTTTCAGGGACTCGGATTCAAAGAAAGAGAGAGAGAGAGAGAATGTTAAGCTTGTTGACCCTTTAACAGCTAGCATGATGTAAGACAGCTGGCTGGGAAGAGGATGACGGTAAGAGAGATTGTGTTTGGTCCAAGATCAAGGCTGTAAGGTTCAATCTCTGATAGTTTGTTCTAAACTTAGATACAACTTCCTCATTGTGGCTCCACACTATGGCAAACATCCCTACAGACTCAACAAAATGGGATCCCCGATTATAAGAAAGCTCCCAAGCTCAGATCAGTGTTTACGAGGGCATATCCTGACACATTTACCTCTCGGTCGAGGACCTTATCAGCTGATGTGTTCAGCCGGATGTTTCTTTCATCCAAGAAGAACCAATCAGCATCCTTTCCATCAAGGCTCCAGTGAATCCCCTCCACTGTAGTCTCTGCCATGAGTTCAGCAACAACGTCTCCAAAAGGGCTATTTTCTCTGATTGTTGCAAATACATCCTGACCATCCAAACATCCACCCCATCCTGACATTCCTGTGTCAACGCAAACACAAACAATTAATTATTAATTAAACCCAATTAATTTTCTACCAAGACCTAAACTCTAACACAAACAAATGTGAAGTGGCTGTACCTGTGGCTGTGTGCAGACATAGGAGGACAAGCAGTGCACAGACTAGATCCTTGGCCTGGAACAAATTCCATTTAAGTTCAATGAGGGCCATTCCTGGGCTCAGTCAGGCCTCAGGAACCAGTTGTTTCTGAGTGAAGAGAGATAAATATCAAACACAATGAACCAAACACAGTCATCCTTTCCCCTTGTACGGTGTGAATGAGTGGGTTAGACTTAGTTTTACTCCATTCCTTGATGGCAACAGCTTAAGAATCATCATTAGGTTAAGACCCTGTGTTAATGTACAAACACAAGCACATAGACTCTGCTCTGTCCAATAATTCCTTTAAATCCCCTTTAAGTGAGGTTCTTCCTGGCTTTCCCCAGTCTGAGAGAGCAGACAGCAGAACAGTAGCTACAATATTTCTCTTCATGTTTCTCTTATCTAATGGCTCTTCTTTTTTGCTCCTTTCCCTGTTCATCTCCACAGAAAGGTGCTATACTGACTGTAGACCTGTTAATCTGTCACTATTGACAACACTTACACTCTACACAGTGTAGATCCTCTGACTTACATTCTTCCTGTATCTGTGGCTTAGCAGGATCTGGGGTGACATCCTACTAAAACCCACAACTCTGCTGCTAATGCGAGGTAAATGAACACACATAAGCTTTCCTTTTACACACTTATAGATATGAACACAGACCGTCTATACTGTTGTTCAGCTGACTGACCTGTTGTTGTCAAATCCTCTGCAGCTTGTCTGTCAGCCTCCATATCCCCCTGACTTGTGATGGAAGTAGCATCTCTGATTCCCAAAACCCTGAAAAAAGCTGCTAAACGCCACTAAGAAAGACAGACTAGGGCTTTTAGGAGTAATCGAAGTGACAACAATAGATACCACAAGTCACACACATACAAACGCACATGCTGATCCCCCCTACATACATTAAAAAGCAGACAGCAGCTTATGTTGTGTATCTTAGGATAAATGTCAGCTCAGAGGCTAAAGCCTGAGGGCGGGGCTTACCTGGTCAGGGACAAAGACTGAGCCAATCAGCTTAGATATGGCAAGAACCTGGCGGTGAAGTGAGAGACCGAGGTCACAAGTGAATTTAAGAGATTTGTCTGGTACAAAGGCACTTGACCTTCATAAACAGTTTGTCATGCGATCTAATTTTAACAGTCAGGGTGTCCATAGCTTTTGCTCAAGCTGTAGTTTCGGCATTAGAGAACACACCAGGAAACGTCCTTTTCTTTAGTACATTAGGTCCTGGCAATCATACTTTAAATGTACATGTATATTTCGGTGTATTTTATAGGTTAGAACTTCCTAAAAAAAAAGTCTGAGCATGTACTTTGGCTACAGCTTGTGCCTGTTGGATTTGTGCAATTAACTAATGGGGCCTGACGAGGGATTAGCTATCAAACATCAGCTGTTCACCTTCTGAAGATTAACCCACATCCTTTTTCACACTTGTCCCAGCATGCATGGGCACACACACACACACACACACACACACACACACACACACACACACACACACACACACACACACACACACACACACACAGACACTCTTAAAGGAGTGTGTCTGCACCTATCTTTAGGGCTCCTGTGATGAAAGCGATCGTCTGGCTCCAAAGGAAAATGTTTTGGTTAGCGCAGGCTTGTGAGTGGTTTCCATTGTCAGAGAAAAAGCAGGGGGAGCAGAAGTGTTTGGAGACTGAAGTTTGCCTCAGGGAAAGGTTGAACACTGCACCATCTGTGTCCCTGGGAGAGAGTGCAGAGGGCAAGCATTTCTCAGATCATCTAAATGTTTAAAGATGGTATTTCAAGCAGCATTAGCTGTATGAATTGAGAGGATGAGACAACCCGTGTACTTTGGTTTTTCATGTTTCTCTGTTGTCATAATAGACGAACAATAGATTAACACAGATGAACAGAATCAGGTCTGTTTATATCCTGCTGTGACTAGATATGACCACTGGATGACAGCAGAGATGTGGTTAAAAATAACTCAAACTTTGCTGTTTTTGCTCACATGCAGTGAACTGTAGACTCCTATGTGCACTTATCAACCACTTAATGCATATGAAATGAAACACAAGCATTTTTCAGTGAGTTTTGTTTCCATTGCGTGTAGTTGTGTACGTGAATATGTAAACATTTCATGGACAACACAAAGTTGTCATAACTTCTCAAATAAATCAATACCAAATGCATGCATTAAATAATTAAACACTGCAATAACAAATGTTGCATTGATGTTATGAGACCACGTGACTAAAAACGGCAATGCTGGTCCGTCGGTGGGTCCACCACTTTGGACCAGACTGAAATATGTATTTGATGGATTAACATTTGCTGGCTAATTAGTATGCCAACAGATTAAACTAAGATGCTGAACATGATAAACATTATACCTGCTTAACATTGTTTTTGCCACTGGCATTATGAGCATCTTACCATGCTGACATTAGCTTAAAGCACCAATGTGCCCATATGGTCTCAGAGCTGTTTGTATGGCTGTAGACTCTTGTTCTAAGTTGCTGAATTTCTCCTGCACATAGGCTGGGTGTAATGCCAATCTATTTCTTCCACACAAGAGAAAAGGGCTACTGAGTGTGAGAGCAACATTTTATTCCCTATGTGTTCCTTTGGAAGGCATTTCTGAATTGTGGAAATGTTTTCAATAAATTCACACCTTCATAAAGTTTCACACTTCTTCAGAACTCCCTCCCTAAAATGTGCTGCATTCTTCTTTCTAATGTTTTATCAGAGTCTTCAATCAGCCCTCTCGGCCTGGAAGTGCCGTGCCATCCAGAGGGATGTGTATTTTTGTAGGGAGTGTATTTTTAAAAACCACTGTAGCGAAGAGAGCAAGTCCTGTGGGAAAACTTTTTAATTGTGAATATTACAGACAAACCGGCATGACTCATGGATGAGGTTTTGTTTGGTATGTGGGACAAACACGGAGAGGATCTTAGTTAAAATGAGGTGTTCAAATGTTTGTTTTCTTGTTTTCCTTTAAGCCTAGATCTCCTTCAGCAGAAATGATCTCAGACTTCACAGAAAAACAATCTGGCACCAGAATGACAAGGGGCTCTCCAGTCTGCAACATCCATTAGATAACACCTGGGTGTCCTATCATCACACCAAAAATACTTCAACAACACAGGGGGCATATGTCTGCCTTTCCTGTGCGAGTCTTAAAGCTGTTGCTTATGAAGGTGTACTCGGAAAGAAAGTCTCTGAACAAATAAACAACAAAGAGAAGACATGAGGCAAAAGCCAGAGTTGTGGAGACAGATGTGGGGGGATTGAGCACAGTGGGATGCACACTGGGACAGTTTCCAAAGCAGTGAAACATGACTACTTGTGTTTACCCCCGCCCTCTCTCTTTCTCTGTACACACACACACACACACACACACACACACACACACACACACTTTCTTTTTTTTTTGGGCTGTTTCAACATGGCTCCCCTCCAGTTTCCAGACCAGGTTTTAGCTGATTACCAAAACGGGGGTCTTTGGGAATCAACACCACTGAGCAGTGCTGGGTGGAGAGATTCTTTTTTTTTTCCCCTGACAAAATGAGGGAAAACAGGGGAAGAAAATAATCCACTCACAGCTATCCTCCAGGCACTGGGAACTGAACAAGACAGAGACAATAGCCGGTGACCTCACACGCACTGCACACCTGAACTTTTCTGCATGCGTGTCTTCTCTCTCTTTCTCTCTCTTTCTCTCTCTCTCCCATCAGAAGCAGGAGATAGTACTAATCATCAGCTTCTCGCAACCATCGCCTTTGTGATCATGGAGTGAAAGTGTGTCGTAGATACGGCCCCAGGGGGGAATGTAAGTGTGTGACTGCAGAGAAGTGACGCCCTGCCTGCGTCCAGATGTTTCATGTTTCCCTTGCGCGCTCTTTGGTAAGGTCTGCTCGCATAAGAGCAGGGGGATCTTAAACCTACTGTCCGTATCAGCAGATCTGATTTAAAAAAGGTACGATGGATGCGAGGCTTTTTGTGTAAGGTGTTTGGATTTGAGTCCAGGCTTTCCATTTTTTTTTGTTGCGTCTGGAGAATGGAGAGCGGCAAACTGAGGACGCTCATGCTGCTGGAGATACATTTGCTCTGGGTCTTTGCGCTCTCTGTGCAGGGGCAATCCAGTCCAAATCACGAGAATGGTGAGTTTGGTCATAGTCACATTTATATGGTTCAGTTTTATTTTTGCCTTTTCTTCTAGATTTTATAAGGGGATTCTAATTGTGAGCAGCATTAATCAAAGTGAGGATTAATTTGTGGGAAAAAGGTATTTGGTAAAAGTAGCAATACAACAATGTGAAAGTACTTAAAAAGTTAAACCTGAGACATTCTTACGTGTCAAAAGTATCCTGTACTTAAGAGAATAGAGTGTTATATATTATTATTATTATATATATTGAATTATGATTATTGCTGATTACTGAGGAGGATATCAACTATTTGATATAATATATTGTTGGGGAGTTTATAACAATGCATCACACTTTATAAACTGATCATGTTTTTATGCAAACTTTTTTACTTTATTTGCAAAGTAACTGCAGCTGTCAGATAAATGTGATAAAAAATGCAATATTTTCCTCTGAAATCTAGTGAAGTAGAAGTAGAAAGTATAGAAATACTCAAATAAATGTACTCAGCATTAATTGTATTTAAGTACATCTCTCGGTACTGGGTGACACTATACATTTATCCAATAAACCAAAACTAACTTATAACTTTCAGTTTCAGGTGTTAGCATTGAAGAGCTATCTCCTGATTTAAAGAGCTGTGTCAGATGTTCTCTTGCATTAATTAAGAGGCAGACAGCAGACAGATCAGACTGATTGTATTATGCTGGCCTGTTGCGACTGTGTATGAGGTCAGTGAGGCAGCCATGTGTGACCGGCTGATGAATGGCTTCATTCTGATTCTCTCTCACACTCATCACAACCCAGAAACCATAGTGTCATCCTCCGTTATAGACAGGGCATGACCTCATGCGGTGTAGATGCGTATGGATGTGTCTCTCAAGTTGCACTCTCTGTTTTATCTATTTTCTAGTGATTGACCTTCTGGCAGCTCTAAACATGTCCCACCACATAAGCGGCGTGTCCAGACTGCAGAGTCCCGGCAGTGTGACATACAGGATACGTCCCAGAGCACCGCACCTGACTCTTCCTCCTGAGTATTCCCACTTCTTGCACTCCAACCTTCAGGGTGGCATGGGGGTGCATCTGGCAGGGCATCAGGCATCTGGATCCAGTGCCACTCTTTTTTCTCTCTCCTCTGCATCCTCACCCATTGTCCAGATCATCTCCTCCACCCTCAATAACACCCTGTATGTGGACTACCAGACTGGAGAAGGAGCTCAGGGCCTTGTCAGCTTTAACTTTCCCAGGAGAAACCCCTTCTCCAGGGACGAGTGGGTACAGTTGGCTGTGAGTCTGCAGACTGATAGAGTGTCATTTTTTGTAGACTGTCAAGAAGCTATGGTGCTACCGATAAAAAGCAAAAAGAGAATCAACCTGGAACTGCCCCAGGATGTTGTTGTCACTCTTGCCAGCACACCAGGAAAGAAGGACAGCAAATTTAGTGTGAGTTTCCTGCACATACTGCATACATGTACATACTTAAAGGGCGTCAAGTTGTGAGCATTTCTGTGTTTCTTTATGAATGCAGGGATATCTGAAGACGGCTGAGATTTCAATGAAAGCATATCTAAGGCGACCGTGGATCTGTGACAATGTTACAGGTAAAGAAAGAGCACTTTATGCTTTATCTATATAACTTTCTTTGTTTGGAGGGTCAAATAAAAGGAAATAATGTATCTGAGTTTGGGCACAGAACAAGGATAAATGTGTATAGAGATTGCCAAAAATAACCAGAGACTAACAAACACACCTTTGAATGTAAACATTTCAAAGCTTTTTTTCTGGATACTATAAA